TTTTGTTAACTTCTATGTAAATACAATCATAAACTTAATTAGTTTTTACAAAAAAAAAAACCCCTAATTATGTATATATATTTATTTATTTACTAGTGTGTATCCCGTGCGATGCACGACCGGCTTTTTACTTAAAACATTTTCCAAGACTTTATATTAAACATAGTTATTTAAGTTTAACAATAAGAAAAATTATATATTATTTATTTAAATATAATGAGTGTCCCCGACCAAACTAATAACATCCAACATATGATATATGATAAAATTAATTATATGATTGTCATACTTTTTGAAAATATATATATATTTCTAAAAAACATGATACACTTAAGATCCGCATTCAAATTTGTATTTGGATATGAGATGAAAAATGAATATATACAAAAAAATGTACCAAGAACCAACATAAAATGAGATTCTTTCTAAACTTTAAAATATTTTGTAATTAAGTAAATATTGACAAAAAAAATCATCAATTAAGTTGAACTATCCGTTAAAAAATAATTTATGATATCATTGACCATATTTACCCGTTGTATTTAAAGATATCATTGACCATACTTTTAGGAATTAAGGTTTACAAAATATCTTTTTCAAAATAACAATTTTTTCGATTTGATTTCGACCTTTTCATCCAGCCGTCATTTTCCATAAAAAATGAAAAANNNATGAAAAAAAAAAAAAAAATAGTATTTAGACGTGAAATTAATAGTAATCGATTAATTTAATATTACTCAAAATTGTTTGATTCGGTCATAACCAAATTGATTGGGCTTATCAAATGAGATCAAATTTTATACCTAAAATAATATACTTTTTGTTTGATTTCCCACAATAAAAAAGATTGTGCTTATCACCTTAAACCCGATCCATCCAATTTTAGATTTTAAATATACAGTAAGCAAATAATAGATGAGATCTACAATAAACTTAAAGCAAATAATAGTTGGAATTTTAAATAAATTTTAAGAAATAATATTATTTTATATAGATGGATAATCGTTTGATTTCATTCTAAGTCAAAATGATTACGCTTATCATATTATCATTTTAAGTTTTGCTTAATCCGCTTTAGTCTTTGAATTTTGTAGTTGTCTGATGTTAACAAATTTTAGTGTTTTGTATAGTGTATATTCAAAATATCACAAAAAAAAAATGGTATAAAATTTAAACTCAAATTCATTTTAATGTTGTATATGGTATTAATTTTAATTTATTGTGATGTAAAATTGTATTACGCATGTCTTGAATTATTGATAGTCTTTATTTTATTTTAGTATTATTAATGATATTAGCAGTAGTTGTGACTTTATTGCCTCGTGGATTTGTAAATCAAAGAGGATTTGAAAATACTAATTATAGTTTTATGTGGAAACATGATTTGTAAATCAAATCAGATTTGTAAATCTATTCTAAATTATTGAAAATTTATTAGTTGATATAGTCGATTTATAATTATATTTTCCTTAATTATGATTTCATTTCCAAACATGATTTGTAAATCAAATCGAATTTGTAAATCTTAATTATTATTTTTGTTACAGAAATCTTAATCATTATTTTTGTACATACATGATTTGTAAACCGAATCAAATTGTAAATCTTATCTTATTATGAGTTATTGAAAATTGATCACATGAATTAAAAAAATGGTAAAAATGAAAAATATTTTCGGATAAATACGAAAATTAGAAAGGAATAACAAAACTGAATAAATTTTTAGTTGAAGTTGAATAAACAAAACTTGATTTGAAGACGGAACAAAACGTGAAGCATTGGATATCTTTTTTTTTTTTGTTATTAGTTGCAATTTATCTCAATGATATGTGAATTGGAAAAAAAAAATTCACCATTTGACAGATGGTTGGATGTATGTCGTGATTGTATATATTGTGATTGGGTGTAAACAATTTTATTTTATGTAATTTTCTATTATTAATAATCGAATTGAAAATTTGTTAACAATTAACAAATAACAATTTCACTTGAAAATTTGTTTAACAATTAACAAATAACAATATCCTTTAACATTTAAAAATATCCAATTTTTTACCAAAATATTATCCGATAATTTACCATATCACGTATCATTCAAATTATGGGATTTCCAAAAATTTTAAAAAAATTAATATGTTTATTAATTTTTTTTATGCGGGAATCCTAATTACTTTTTAGCTACTGTTTTATAATTTATTGGGTTGCCACTTTATATAATAATAGATTTGCAATTTTTTTCTTTCATTTTGTTAATTAATATTTATATATATCTTTCTTTTTGTTCATTCAAATTTATATATAATATTTTTATATAAAGTTTATAATTAGAAATAAAAGTCGGATAATTAAGTTGATTTGAATTTTTTAATAGAAATATTTAAATTGAAATTGATTAGTATAATGAGATTTAACAAAAAAAAAAAAGAAAAGAAAAGTTAATTTAGTTATTGTCTGATATGCAAGGCAATTATATTTTAGTGATTTTTTTTTTTAAATGAATAAAAGCATACATATCCGATAGAGATAGATTTAGGGCCGATTTTTTCTATTTCATCAATATAGGGCCGATTTTCTTTCCAAACTCGCCGAATTCACACAATTCAAATTATAGAATTTTCTGCTGAAAAGATTACTTAATATACATGGGCGGGAAAATGGCTTTAAAGAAGCGGGAAAACGAAATAATTTTTTTCGAGTTTTTTGAATAATTTTTCTTAACCCTATTATATAGTAATAGATTAAATATTACTCTCCTATTCCCAAAGCTACATTTACTACACCTTTTTTTAAACTTTTATGTAACTCAACCATAAACATATTAATTTTTATAAATAAATATATAATTATAAATGTAATATTATGTTAAAATTTATTCTCATATTCTCAAGGCCAAGGAATTACACCTTAAATTATGTTGAAGTGGAAGACTATATTAATTTTTTTTAATAACATAATTAGTTTTACAAATAAACACTTAATTATAAATATAATTGTTTATTAAAAATT